AAGAGACCAGCCCACAGGCTATATCTTGCTATAAAGACACTGAGGAGCTAGGTTTGGAGGCGCTCTAGGCTCTTCTACCTGGCATTAGGCAGGAGAATGTGTGTTGCCCAGAGGCCACGGGAGAAGTCCTCCAAGGGAAAGGTTAGTCCTCCTCTGGGCACCCACCGTGTTTGTTTAGTTGGATTCCTTTTCTAACACTTGATAATCAGTAATTCTTATCCCTTTGGGAGTCAAGGTGACTAAGAACTTGGGCTGGGTACTGAGTGTAGTTGAGCAGGACTGTCATCCCAGCAGCTAAGGAGGCTGAGGCAAGAGGATTGTGAGTTCAAAGCCAGCCTCAGCAACTTAATGAGGCCCTAAGAAACTTAGCGAGACTCTGTCTCTAAATAAGATACAAAAAAGGGCTGGGGATGTGGCTCTGTGGTTAGCACTGCTGGGTTCAATATCCAGTACCAAATAATAATAACGATGATGATGATAATTGAGTGGCAGAGCCTAGCATGTGCAAGACCCTGGAAGAAGAAGAAGAAAAAGGAGAAGAAATGTATATGTGTGTATATAAAATAAAATGGAAAATCCTCGGAACTCAATCTGGTAATCCTGGGGCATCCCCCATCCTGCAGGTGCCCGTGCCTCCAGGGGAAAGAGTCTTGGGATTCAGGGGCCTGCCCCTGAGGTGCGGAGAGGGCATTACCCCCTTAGTGACTGGATTCTGCTGACCACTGCTCTTCCATGCCCGGGCAGGGTGTCCTTCTGCACATTCCTGGCACATGAATACCCTGACCTGGTGCACAAGGTGATCATGATCAATGGCGGGGGCCCCACCGCCCTGGAGCCCAGCATCTGCTCCATCTTCAATATGCCCACGTGTGTCCTGCACTGCTTGTCGCCCTGCCTGGCCTGGAGCTTCCTCAAGTGAGTGCCCCCATCCTGGAGACGCTGCTCTTGGCTCTGGCAGACCCTGGCATCTCTCGGAGTTGGGGGGAGGGAGGCTAAACAGCTGGGTCTGGCATGGGGGACACCCTGTGGAGCGCCGGCTGGCCAGGGGTTCAGACGGTGTCTCCCCACCACCAGGGCCGGCTTTGCCCGCCAAGGAGCCAAAGAGAAGCAGCTGCTGAAGGAAGGCAACGCGTTCAACGTGTCGTCCTTCGTGCTAAGGGCCATGATGAGCGGCCAGTACTGGCCCGAGGGCGACGAAGTCTACCACGCTGAGCTCACGGTGCCTGTCCTGCTTGTCCACGGCATGCACGACAAGTTTGTGCCAGTGGAGGAAGACCAGCGCATGGCGGAGGTAGGAGCAGGGTACCAGGGCAGCCACCCCTGGAAACCCACTGTGCACAACCCTGGGGGCGTGGCCTCCATGTGGGCGTGGCTTCGGGCCAGGGTGGCCTCTAAATGAGTGTAGTTTCTAGGTCGGGGTCTGTGTATGGGCTCGGTCTGTGTATGGGCTGGGCTCTGGCGTGTGTCCTGACCCCAAGGAACTGGGAGCATCAGATCTAGAGTCAAAGGTAGAACCTAGAAAATGGCTCCCCAGACAGGTAACAATTATGCCCCATTCCCCCTTCTGCTAAGCAGACCACGGCAGGGGATTTGTAGAAGAGATCAATGTTGCTTGTATAAATTTGGGGAAAGGGGTGAGGCAGTGGGTCTTTAGAGGTTCCAAGGAAAAGATACCGGAACCCTTAGTACTTAGGATAGCTCTGAACTGGGCGGTTCTTAACCAAGGAGGATCCTTGCCTCCAGGTCACACTTGGAAATGTCTGCAGACTATTTCCAGACGAGAGAGGGGAGGGCGGACTCCGGGCATCTGGTGGGTGGAGACAGGGAACTGTATATCATCTACCATGCACTCCGCAGCAAAGAATGATCCAGCCCCAGATGTCAGACTGCTGAGATTGAGAAATCCTCCCCTTTCATACCATAGGCACTGAATGAGTGAATATCTAGTTGGGCTCCCACAGGGTGACCGGCCATCCTACAGTTCCCTCTGGAGTGGAACTAAAGGGTTGAAGGGTAGACTGCAGGAGGGACTTCCTGGTGTGGGCCATGCATGGAGGTGGGGAGTCCCAGGGCAGTTGGCCCCTCGCCGCCCCCATCCTGAGCCCCGCATCCCTGCAGATCCTGCTCCTGGCCTTCCTGAAGCTTATCGACGAAGGCAGCCACATGGTGATGTTGGAGTGCCCGGAGACGGTCAACACGCTGCTCCACGAGTTCCTGCTCTGGGAGCCGGAACCCTCGCCCAAGGCTCTGCCTGAGCCCCAGCCCGAGCCTCCAGAGGAGAAGAAGTAGCCGCCGGGCCGGCGGGGCATCGCTTGGCGAGCAGAGCCGCAGGAAGAGCCAGAGCCTGCGCTGGTCCGCGGCGCGGACCACCTGGGCGGGCCGTTCGCTCCGGTGGGCGGGGTCAGTCAGGGAGACGCCCCCAGGCCGGCTGGGCGGGGCGTGGCCTCGGAGGGAGCCGGGAGACCCTTCGGCTCTCTGCTTCGGAGCCCATCCGTGTTTCGGGCCGCGGCCAGGGCCCACGCGGAGGATGACCTTGTACAGAAGCCCTCTTCCCCTCCCCAACGCCACACCGAGGCAGGTCCCCCACCCCGCTCTGTCTTCCGTGTCAGCCGTGCTTGATCCTGGGACCCACAAGCCCCGCAGGGACCCTCGTGGGTCCGGTCCCTTTGCCCGAGACCCCACCCCAGTCCTCATTCCTTGGCGCTGGGAGCTGTTGTTGCCCAAGGGGGGAGGGATTGGGAGAGGGGCTGGCGCCACCAAACCTGCACATCTCAACTTGTAACTCAATAAAAAGAAGTGACAATCGGGGGACTTGTGTTGGATGACCTTAGGGCAGGGCTTTCTTTGCTACCCCAGTCTGCTTTCCCATCTGCAGCCTGGCCTGAGGCGCCTCCCCTCGGGGGTGACCTTGAGAGCCTCGGGGACTCCAGGCTGGCTTCCTGAACATGCGCACACCCTGCTTTCTAGAGGCCGCTTGGCCAGTGTTGCCGAGTGCCAGGCCGTTATCAAGGGGTGCGCTTCTGCCCTGGAAATGGAAGAGGAGGTCCAGCCGAGATTGAGTGAGGATCAGTGGACACCGCAGGAGATTATAGCTGCAATAATTGAGCACCCACTGTACCACTCAATACCAGGCCCTGTATTGAGTGTCTGGCACCCAGCTGTTGAATCCTCAAGCTTCCCAACCCACAACCCTTTACTGTTCGCATTCTAAACTGTATTCGAGCGCAAGTCTAGGTCTCTCTGCTTCATGTGACCAGTGGGAGGAGGGAACTGTCTCCTCGGTTTTCCCCACTGGTTTGTGAACCAACTTCTGTCTAGACTTGGGGTTCTCATCCGGGGCAGTTGTGTCCACTGTCAAATTCTGGAGACCTTTCAACGGCCACTCGGGAGGTGACGGGGGTGGGGGTTGGCTACTGGCATCTAGTGGGTCCAGGGCTGCTGCTCAACAAGCAACGAGGTACAGGGCAGCCCTGTAATCCAGCCCCAAATGTCATTAGGGCCGAGATTGAGAAAGCCTGGTAGAGAAATTCCCACTCTTTGGGGTCTTTGGATTCTTTTCCAGTGACCTGCTCGTGCACTGCAGGGTGACAGCCCATTGTCTGAATTGCTGTGGCTTTATCAGCTCTGGGGTCTGGGAGTGTTGACTGTGGTTTTCGTTTGTTTTTGGTACCGGGGATTGAACACAGGGTGCTTAACCACTGAGCTACGTCCCCATCCCTTTCTATTTTTTGAGACAGGGGCTCGCTGAGTTGCTTAGGGCCTCGCTAAACTGCTGAGGCAGGCATCCTCCTGCCTCAGCCTCCTGGGATTGCAGGCATGCAACACCACCACCGGCTGGGAGTCCTCTGTTTCACACGGAAAGAAAGGGAGACTCTAAAAGAGATTTCTCCAGCGCGGATATAGGCGGCAGGACCCAGGCACACTCCACAGGCCGGGCCCTTAACTGTCAGAGCAGCCTAGGGGACAATCCCAAGTAGGTGGAACCTCTGCCCAGGTACAGTCCGCCCCTGCAGGACCTGGTTGGCTGAGTTGTGATGATGGGCAGGTGGTGTAGCCAATGAGGCAGATCTCCCCAAATCCCTAAACCCCCTGAATCTTCTAAAGACGAAACTTTCTCAGAAACTTAAAACAACCCTTACATACCCCTCAAAACCATATCTCTGACAACACAGCAGCAACAAGTCACCAGGATGGCAGTTTGGCATTTACTGAAGCTCTCTGCACATGTAAACGATGTGTAGTCACAGCGCCCCGAGGATCGGGTTGGTAACTCCCTGTTCAGTGGAAGAAATGAGTCCGGGCGAGGAGGCTGGGGTGTCGCAGCCACCCTGAGGACCAGCTTCTCACTCGACCGGGGAAGACCTCCCGGGCCTGCCCACACCTCACCGCCACAGCCCCCCGACTTCCCTCTGTTGGAGATGTGCCACCTGGGCGCGGTGCTAGGCTGTCACACACTGTTCACATGACCCCGGTTGAGTCCCTACAATGATCCCGAGGCAGGACCTCAACTGCCCTCATTGTAATTGAGGAAACTGAGAGTCAGAGGGAAAAACCCTTGGCCGCAGGTCCCACAGCCCGGAAGTAGCAAACCTGGCTCTGGAGCTGAACAGATGCCCTCCATGTAGCTGAGACGGTCACTGGCCGTCCCTTTATATGGGTCGCGGGTCTGGAGATTAAAGGTGGACTCTGTCCACAGATGGGACCAAACTGCCCAAGCCCCTGTGCTCCAGAGCACCCTGTGGCTCCCCACTGGTCTTTTCCATGACAGGAGCACAGTGCCTCCCCAGCAGGCCTCCCTCCCATAGTTCTCCCTCAGCCTGACAGGGGGACCGACCCTGGGCTCCCGACACACGCACACACACACGCACACGCACACACGCACGCACACACTCTTACACGTCCTGCCGTCTGAAGCCAGAGGTGGCGTGCTGTCAGCTTGGAGCAGCTGGGATACCCAAATACCCTGATGTCCACCCAAACTGGACAGCCAATCCCCAGTCTCAGCCCCGGGCCTGGATGTCCTGAGGCCGCAGCTCTCGCTGGCCCTCGGCCAAAAAGACAAGGAGGGCGCGGTGTAGCAGATGCACCCCCAAGCGCCGGCGCCGATGGCGGGGCCAGTCTGCCACCACTCCGTAGTAGTGCCCTTGTTTCTGGTTGGTCAGTTTCTGGATTCCTAGAGAAATTAGAAAAATGGGGTCAGAGGGGTGGCCTCAGGGTACCCCTCCACCAGAAATATGTGACAGCAAACCCAAAATGGGTTGCCCTCAAGTAAGGATAAACAAAGGGAGCAAAATTCATGCAAATTCAGGTACGGGGTTGGTGCTCAATAATTGCTTATTCACTGAATAAATGAGTGAACAACCCTGAAAGGGAAGAGGTGAGGGAATCTGTCAATCAAATGCCCTTCCCCAGCCCCACTTCCTAGGTACCCACCTAGAGCATCCACAAGACACGCCTCCCGAGTGTAAGCCTCCACCGCCACCACATGTTGGAAGCAATGCAGGGAGATGACACCGCGGCCACTGTCCCAGATGTCCAAGATCTGGCGCACCTTGGGGCATGCCTGGAGGCCCAGGGCAGCGTCAGAGGTTGCCTGACCCTGGCTGGCTCCCCCGGCTGGACCTTCATCCTTGACCTCAGGCCTGTTTTCTCTTTCCTTTGTCTTTTTTTTAGGTTTCAGTTTCAGGAAACTTCTGGGCAAACGCTTGGGATACAGGCCCCTCCAGGGCCCCTGATGGGAACCGCAGGGCTTCCGGGGCCAGAGAGGAGTACGCTCACTGCTCTTGAGCAGAGGAGTGAAATCAGGCAGGACGAGGGGCGGGAAGTAGAGGGACCCTCGACCCGGCAGAGGGAAGGAGCTTTGGGACCTGCGGGTGGCCATTCCCAGCAAGCACCCAACTTAAGTAAAGGACACCAAAGTGCTATACGATCAATGCGGCCTCATACCTGTTTTCTTGGCCGTCCACGGTAGCCAAGGGCCTCCCAGAGGTGGGCATCTGGTCGGGCACGTGTCCCCTTGCCCACATAGAAGATGGCACGAACGAAAGTCTGAAAACACTCGGCTCGGGTCAGCGAGAAGGCTCGGGCTGGCAGATCCTGAGTCTCCCTGGATAGAGGGGGACCCTCAGAGAAGGAAAAATGACCAGTTGTCCCATTGCCACTACCCAAAGTCACAGTGCAACTTGAACCCACATCCAGCGACCCCCATTTTATAAGACCAGGAAGGGTGGCTGCTCCCCAAGGATATTCAACTATTTAAAATTGGGTTCAATCACTTTTTTATGAAGAAACTGATGACCAGAGAGGGCTGGTCACTTTCTTAAGAACACACAGCAAATACAAATCACTCCCCAAATTTTCTAGTTTCCATCTCTGGGTCTTTCCTGCGCCAAGTACCTGGGGTCTAGCAGCAGATATGTGAAGCTGGACTTTACAACCCCCTCCCGCCACCTCTTTGTGGGATCTGGTCGCTCAAACTGCTGGGCAAGTGCATCTTCATCGGACTGAGCATCTGGAATATGGCCTGTCCGTAGGGCCTTGGCCAGTTCTGGGCTGTACCCGGAAAACTCTGGGCCTAGGAGAGGTGAATAAGTCAGGGGAGATGGAGGAGGAGGTGGTTCTGAGAGCTGATGAGGGTAGGACTGAGAGCTGGGGTCTCCGGGGATTCCTGGGGGCTCCTGGGATTCTGGATGTCCAGGAGACACTAACCAGGGGTGGCCCGGGTTTCTTCGGGCTGTTGACGGTAGCAGTGCCAGGTGAAGGGCGTCACGAGGCCAGGGCTCTTGTCAAGCACTTGATGTGCCTGCGGCAGCTCCGGGTCAGATTCGGCAGGGACTGGCAGGTGCTGGCAAGAGGGGACAGGGTCCCTGCCCTGTGTGGAGCTCAGCTCATCCTCTGTCAGCCAGAGCGCAGCCTCGTCCCTACCAAGGAACGTCTGATCGTCGCTCAGGTCGGGGGGTCCAAGAGGCTGTTCCTGTGGAGGGCTACAGGCTGAGCTCCCATCCAGGAGGGAGGCTGAGGAGGGAGAAGGCGGGCAGCCTGCTGTATGGGGACAGGTCAGGCTCAGGGCCTGCAGACAGGTGCTTAGCTCTGCCTCCCTGATGGCCTGGTGGCCTTGACGCACCAGCTGTGGGGCACTTCCAGGCCTTGGTATCCTCTGACTAGGATGGAGATCAGGCCGTCCCCGAGTGGTCTGGGGCAATGACCTGACCCAGGGAGAAGTGTCCAGGGCTGGGTCCTCATCTCCAGAAACCTCAACTGCAGTGACGAAGGAGACCTCCGACGAGCAGTCCCAGCACCCGAGGGGGGCCTCTGAGTCCCCATCCTTGTCTGCACACTCGAGGGCGTCAGGGAGGTTGGGGGATCCAGGGCCAGACTCCAGGCCCACGTCCCCTCTGTCAGCTCTGCTCAGCGGGGCTTGGAGTGCTGTGGAGTCCAGTGTCACATCAGGTGGCGCAGAGACACCTGGGCCTGAGATAAGAGAGGGAGCGAGAGACAGAAATAGATTCAGATCAGACAGAAAAGGAGATCAGAGTCTGGAGGAGAAGGGGAGTTGGAAGCAGAGGGAGCTAGCTAGACGGTGGCCAGGAGAGTCAGAACCAGCAGGTGGCAGTCGTGCCGAAGACCATCAAAAACAGCTGGGGACCAGGGAAGCAGCGGGAGACTGGATGCCAGAGGCACTGGAAGCACCACGCGGCCGCGCAGGCCCGACTCACTGCCAGGCTCCGGCTCTGACTCTGGCTCCTGGGCCTCTGCCCGGGCTGCGGTCGGAGAGTCCAGCTCGCACAGGATGCGTGCGCAGTCTTGGTGCCCCTGCTGCACCGCTAGGTCCAGGGGCCTGAGTCCGTCCTGCGGAAGCGCGGTCAGCAGGGGGCGCCCGAGGACCTTCCCCCTCTTCTCCTCTCCCTCTGGGTCCGCCCCATCTTCTCTGAGGAGTTCCCCCACCTGGTCACGCAGCGCGGGGTCCGCTCCTTGGCTCAGCAATAGCTCCAGGCCGCGGCGACAGCCCCAGGCGGCGGCCACATGCAATGGCGTCAACGCTTCGGCCGATCTGGGACGAGAGCGCAAGAGAGGTCACTGGAGACTTCACCTCCGGAGTAGGACCTAGATCGCGGGCGCTGAGAACTGAAGCCTGGGCCCTCGGTCCCTAAGATCCCCAAGCCCCACCCTCGGACACCAAGCCCCGGGGGACAGATCCTAGTGCATGTGCTCTAGGATTCCCAGGCCTCGCCTCTCAGGACACCCCTCACTGAGCCCAGGCTTCGCCTTACCGAGCGTTGGGGTCCCCTCCTCCGCGTAGTAGGACTCCGAGGCAGCACAGGCCTTTCGGGTGTCGGGCTCCAGCCGCCAAATGTATGGCGGCCGCGCCATCAGTAAGCACCAGGTTAGGGTCGGCGCCGCGGCGCAGCAGCTCCTCCACTGCCCTGCTGACAGAGGGTCAGAGTGGACCGCGGCCCCCTCCCGACCCGGTCTGCCCACCGATCCGACCCGGGCCCCACCCTCACCGCGGCTCCTCCTCCTGTAGCGCCGCCCGCAGCTGCTGAGCCAGGCCGGCCGCGGCACCCATATCCCGGGCGTCCCCGGGCCCCGCTGCCCGGCCCGCCGATTTCCAACTTCCCGCGGCGGCCTTGTGCGCACGCGCCGCCCCGCCCCGCGGCCCGGGCCCCTGCTCCCCCGCGCTGCACTGGCTGCTCAGCCAGGTGGCCCCGCGCCGCACCGCCGCCCACATCGGAGTTCCCGAGCCTAGTTCCGCGACACGCACCAAGTGGCAATCGGGAGGCCCTGGCACCGCCGATAAGGTCCTGGGCACGAGGAGGAGGGTGGGTGTGCCCTTATCTCGCCTCAGAACCGAAGACGGACGCACCCTTCCCGGAGCGCTCCATCACGGAGCTGGGGAAGCCGCCGCGGGGCGCCAGGGCGCTCGGAACCCTCGGCCACGGCGGCTGCCCTGAGCGCGCAGCCCCCACTCGGGAGGCTGGTTCCCAGCCTGCCGCCCTAGAAGCCGTGCAGCGCCCGTTCCCGCCCAGCAGAGTCGGGAGTCCGGACTGCGGAGGGTGGGGCCTTACTTTCCACTCGGCCAAATGGGAGAACAACTGTAACGAAAGAAAGGGGCATTTCAGCACAAGCCACTGTAGGTGCCTAATAAGTGCTGAAAAAGAGGAAAAGCAGTTGCTCAATAAGTTATTTCTGTTTTATGTGGAGCTGAGAAAATCTGGTCCATAAACTTCTCACAATTGCATCATCCGGGGAAGATGGTTGAGTGGACCTCTCCTATCCGTCTTCCCGCCGCCAGGGAGCACCCACCTTAGCTCCTGGTCTTTGTTTCAGGAAGAAGGGTGACCCTGGCCTGGCCAATCAGCATCCCAGAACCCTGGACCACAACCGGCTTCAAGGAGTCCACCTGACCCAGAGAGGTCCAACCCTCGGTTCTCTGCTTTGGGACTTAGGAAGTGGTGGGAGCTACCTCACCCTTTTCCAGGGGTTGGGGAGAAAGAAAGCAGGGCACACCAGACACCAGCTGGGCAGTTCCGGTGGCAGGGAGCTGAGGCACCCTTGAGCCTGAAGGTGCCACCTCGGCTTCTCATCCACAAGAAAGAAGCCGTTCACCCTCTTCCTTGCTTGATGGGTGGGTCTCTGTCACTTCCAACAGAGCTGATCCCAATTAACACGAGATTATTGTGGACCGGGGCTAAGGATGGTTAGATTTTTATTTTGATGACAAAAGTCACATATAGAACAAAAGTTATAATGGAACAACCAGGAGTGGGTGTGGGCTAGAAACATGGAGGACGCACGCGTGCCCAGAGATCCTGAAGGGCCTCCTGGAATTCTGGGTTTCTTCCCAGGGCTGCCAAGTGCCCTGAGTACCTCCTGGAACCCCTAGGAGTCCCCAAAAGGTGTTGGAGAACCAGCACTCTAGACCAAGCGTTTCCGGGGACCAGGCTGAGATGCACAGTGACGGTTCACACGGTGGCCTCAACCTCGGTGGCTTCTTCCTCCTCCTCCAGCAGGCTGTAGGAGGCATGGCTCTGGCATGGTCGCTGCAGTGGGTGGGCCAACAGCTTGGCCATGCAGTTGTGTAACTCCAGGGCTGGCCCCGCTAGGGCCACCTCATATTTGTAGCTGGTACCCTTGGTGTCCAAGCTGCCCATGAAGGCAAACATGTCCTGTAGGGGGCAGTGAGCGACAACTCAGGCAGACATTGATCCTGATCCACCCTCCAGGTACCCCAGAAGGCTTCCCAAAGGAAGGGACATCTGGGGTGGGATCTGAAGAGCGAAGACATGTTTGCCAAGCTCCAAGCACACCCGCTGGTACCCACCAAGAGGTCTCAGTCCTAGGTGTGTAGGATCCCCCAGCATAGAGAGCTGTCACATGACACCCCAGCCCACATGCTCGCGTGTGGTGCTGGGAACTGAGCCCCAGGCTGCTGTACCACCAGGGGACATCACCAGCCACTTTCATTCTTTTATTTTGAGGCAGGGACTCTCTAAGCTGCTGAGGCTGACCTCCGACGTGTGAGCCTCCTGCCTCAACCTCCTAAATTGCCCAGCTATCTTTTTAAATGACTCTGGCAGTGCTGGGGGTAGAGTACAGTTCTCCCAGCCCGGGCAAGGGCTCTGCCCAGCCTGCACGCAGAGCCTTCTTGATGGGGAAGGCTTCCCACGGGGGGATTTCTTTATCTGGGTAAAGGTCTGAGCAGGCGCTGGTCTCAGCTCCTCCACTGAGTCGGATAAACAAATGCTCAGAGTGGCCAGTGAGGTCCCCGTTAGTTCAGGACTGAGATGTGCAGGGTCAGCAGAGCTTAGGAAGGAGGAGGGTGTGCCAGGCAGAGGGCACAGGAAGGCAAAATCAGGAAGACAGAGAAGGGGGAAGCTGGGATGAGCTGGGCGGGGCCAAGATTCCCGGAGCCACTGTCCCAACAGTCCCCACAACTTTAGTCACCACCAGCTGCTCACAGAGGAGCCGCAAAGAGTTGTTGAATGACTGATGGCCACCACCCAGCTGGACCAGGGCTCCAGGGCTCAGGGTGCTGAGATAACCCAACTCCGCCCGCCGGCCACCGCCCCTTACCTTCCAACTGGTCTCCTCCTCCTTCTCCTCGGCGCCATTGTGGATGTAAACAACATCAAAGAAGAAATATGGACACTGGAACATTCTCTGCCGGGGAGAGGACAGCCTGTGGGCTCAGGTCACCCCAACGTCCGCCTCAGACTCCAGGAGTACCCTTCCAAGCACCCCAAGCCTGTGGGCAGGAATCCCCCCCAGCATTCACCCTCCGTCCTGGCTGCAGGTGCCCCTCCCTCTCCCAGGCCTCACCCACCTTCATGGGCTCTGTCAGGGACAGCTGGGGCTGGCAGGGTGGGCGGCTGTAGACAAGGATGGTGCGGACCACGTATGGCGGCGGGATGGTCTGCACGTTCTCCGTGACAGGCAGCTCTGTCTTCTGCTGGCTGCAGAGCCAGGGGGGAATGGGTCAGAGCATGCTTTGGGGTCTAGCCCTCCTGCACCTCCGGAGAGCCCAGCTCCTCACTGGGCATGCAGGGCCCATCTGGCCCCTCCTGAGCCATCCCATACTCTCTCCTCCGCCCCCAGCACCTCCCTGGACTCGCCCCGCCCGGTCTCTCCTACTACACCAGGGATGCTTCACTGATTACAAGGCCAAATCCTGTGCTGGCCACCTGAGGGCTCTGGGGTGGACCTGCCTATTGACACATGGCTTCCCATCAGGCCAGGGACTGCTTCCATGGGAACCAGATTTTTTTCCCCCCAGCATTGGGGATTGACCCTGGCTGGGGAAGTATGGTTTTTACAAGTTTTTCAAGTGATTAAAAAATCTAAGGTGGGGCTGGGGATGTGGCTCAAGCGGTAGCGTGCTCGCCTGGCATGCGTGCGGCCCGGGTTCGATCCTCAGCACCACATACAAAGATGTTGTGTCCGCCGAAAACTAAAAAATAAATATTAAAATTCTCTTTAAAAAAAAAAAAAAATCTAAGGTGGAAGCTGGGTGTGATGGCGCACACCTGTAATCCCAGCAGCTCAGGAGGCTGAGGCAGGAGGATTCCAAGTTCAAAGCCAGCCTTAGCAACAGCGAGGCACTAAGCAAGTCAGTGAGACCCTGTCTCTAAACAAAATACAAAATAGGGCTGGGGATGTGGCTCAGTGGTTGAGTGGCCCTGAGTTCAATCCCCAGTACCAAAAGAAAAAAAATAAATCTAAAGTGGAATCGTATTCAATAATACAGGGAAACAAGAAATTCCAACTTCAGTATCCCTAAATAAAACTGTCCTGGCACACAGCCACACCTGCAGCAACAGAGGGCAAGAACCGTCACGGGGACCTTGGCCTGCCCACAAAGCTGAAAATATTTACTGATTCTTGACAGAAAAAAACTTTGCTGACCTTTGGGTGAAAGTAATTAGTGTGGAGCACTATGGGGCAGTCACAGCACTGACACAGAGGGCAAGACTCCAGGAAGTATGTCCCTTGCAGAAAATGTTCCCAGATAGATAAATGAGCAACTCTTGCATGCAGCACCAGGCACGGGCAGGCTGTAGGACCCCTGGATTATCTCTGTGCTGCCGAGTTTTGACCAAGAAAGATCTCTTTTGGTTTGCCTGGTTTGGTTTTTGTATTTTTGCAGCACTGGGGATGGAATCCAGGGCCTCACACATGCTAGGCAAGCACTTTGACACCAAGCTACACCCCAGCCCAGGACCTTCTCTTGGAAGGTGGATAACTTACATGAGGCTGAAGAGCCCTTCCAGATCTGGTGGGGATGCTAAGGAGAAGTCCAATGGCTTTGCTCAGACAGTCAGAGGCAGGTGGCTTCTCTGGATCCTAATGTCAGGAGAGCCCAGACCCCTCCAGCCAGGCTGTGGGTCCCTGGCAAGTGGCTCCCCTTCTCTGAGCCTGGTTCTTCTCAGCACAGATAACAAAATAAAATGCTGACATGGGACCCCTGAAGGACCTTGGTGATTGAAAGCTCCTCTTTTCCTCAGGGCTGGTGCCACTCTTCTCACAATTAGAGCCACAAGGGTGGGGGGGGTCTTGCTTCTGTTCTCCTAACATGCATCGATTTTTTAATTCATGGGGATCATTTTCTATTTAAGTTTTGGGTCACACCTGAGCCTTTAATGTTCAGATTAGCATGAAATGTACTATGTCCAAATTAAAGAGACTCTAAGGGCAATTCTAACTTTTTAGTCACATACTGACATTTACTGAGCACCAACTATACACCTGGTGCTGCACAAAGTATTCCCCGTGTGGATGCATTTTGGAAATCCCGAGTCCAAATCATCTGTTGCTGCTTCTGTATTGTTAAAGGTTGAGTGTCCCTTATCTGATATGCTTGGGACCAGAAGTGTTTTAGATTTTGGTTGTTTTAAAGTCTGGGAATATCTGTATATGCTAATGAGGTACCTCAGCGATGCGACTGACGTCTGAACAAGAAATTCATTTGTTTCCTACGCACCTATTATGCACAGTGCATTTTGACAGTGACCGTGCCCAGGAGGTCAGGGGTGGACTTCTCCACCTGTGGCCGCCGTGTGGGCACTCATCAAGTTTCAGACTTTGAAGCGTGTCAGCCTGGGGATGCTGAAGCCCAAGGTGTGGTCAGTTTTGTGTCCCACGTTACAGATGGGGAAACAGGCGGAGAAGTCACGGGCCCAACCTGTCACAACACAGCTGGGACCTGAACCTGGGCTACCCAGCAGGCCCTCC